GAACAAACCTTGAAAGGTTAGGAAACGTTTTCGCCGGAAAACATCCATTCTAGGGTCTGTTTTTGTATCATTGGATAAGTGTTGAGATAGCACCTTGAAGAGGCTGTTCAACAATCATTCCTAAGCAAGGAATCAGTTCTCAAACTTCTTTGTCCAAAGCTTTGAACATTGGATTGAGAAGGAAAAACTTAAAGCTCATTTGAGGTGAGGATCGACATCTAGTTTCTTACAACTTGTAGGTTAAGCATTAGATTACCTAAATGCATAAATCATGTTTTCATAGATCATGAAGATTTATTATTGATGAAATATGGATATATTTGATAAGGAATGGAATTGGAAATGATTTGAAATCATATTGATAAAAATGGAGTTAAATGAACTATTATGTAAAATAGGCATTTTTACTCATGTGTGAATTGTGTAGATACATAAATGAATATTTATGTATTACATTGTTGCTGTTACATATCTCTAGATATGTAGGGACTTACAAGTAGAATATTTGATTTATAAGAATCATCTTAATAGTATTGAATTACTAGTTAATGATTGTTTGTAATTGTCAAGGAATTGAATCTAAGAATTTGATTGTAAGTGATGTGCTTGAATGTGATTCAAGTGATTTAATTGATTTAGTATGAAGCTAAGATCATGTTATGGGCAGTCCGTAAGGATGTCCCAAAATAGATTATTGATATCTCAATTCTAGGCATGAGTTTGCTTAGGAATTGAGTTTATGCCATGACACGGTGATGTACTTGAGTTGGACTCTAGAAGTGCATGGGTAGAGAAGGGGTCGTGATTGATGACATGCATGGTGATGTACATGAGTTGGACTCTAGAAATGCATGAGAGATTTGAGGTTGTAGCCTATGGTGTGCATGGTGATGTACTTGAGTTGGACTCTAGAAATGCATGGTGGAGTAATTAACTTGCGTCATATGATTTGCATGGTGATGTACTTGAGTTGGACTCTAGAAATGCAAACATATGTGTTAAGGTTGGACCCTATGAATTGTCGTGACTAGTAGTCACGGGGTATTGGGTTGATATTTTGTAAACAAACCTTAGGCCTACGGGTCGACTACTTGACTTTATATATAATGTAAGTATATTTTTAAAAGGGGTAACTTGGGGTTACGGTCTAGATTATATTATCACCCTATTTGAGGGTCTTGTGTTTGAAATACTTGTTGTATATCTATTAGATGTCATACACACCAGTACTTTATAGCCGTATAGAGTACTGACCCCCTCTCGGGGGGGGGGGGGGGGGGGGGCATCCCACCACCATTTGAAGTTGAGGCTAGAGCTTGCTACATGTGCTCGTTGCTCGGGTGATAATCTTGGAGAGAAGACATGATTTGTGCTTCCTCCATTCTGTTTTTGAACGTTTATAAACATGTTCATGGATATTTTTTCACTATAGAGCCTGCGTGCTCATGTTTGCCCCGCTGCGTATTGAATTGCTTATTATGTATGTTGATGGATGACTTATGTGTGAATGACATTCGAGACGCCTTGTATAATATGGATGTGTTAGAATGTGGTTGACTATTTGTATTGTACGGTGGGTTGTTGACGTGTCCGGATAGGTCCGAGGCGTGACACGGATGCTATAAACCTGTTCCAAATCATCCAAACTGCGCTGCTTTTGCGCCGTGTTGATTGCCGCCATGCTCAATCCTAAACTCCCTTCCTCACAAAGAGGAAGATTGGCGACGTATTCCTTCAGGCTGCTAATCAAAGAAGGCTATACTTGGAGGCTTATTAGTAGTGACATCCCAACGAAACCTAACTCATTCAATTTGTTTTTTGGGTCAGCATAAAAACCGAACTGAACGGGTACTGAACGACCCATAACAGTACTGAATCGATTATCGAATATTGAAACCGTTCTATAGAATATTATCATGAATCGAAACCGTACCATTTCAAACGGGTACGTAACCGGTCTTAGATTTTGAGAACCAAAAAATACGAGATCGAACCGTTCAAAAATAATGCATTTGAGATTTTATATTTTTTCATACCAAAAAATATCTTTATAAACCAATAATTTTATAGTCCTTAGTATGCATTCATGCATCCCTAAAATAGCTAAATGTGTGTGTTTATATAAATATTGTTATTTTTCTGTTAGATAATTTATGTTATATTTGGTATTATAATGGAAGGAATGCAAACGTTTTAAAAATCATTAATGACTAATAATTTCTAGTAATATAATGTATATGACAATTTGTTGTATCATATTTGTGTAATTTTATAACTTAATTCATATGGTTTGAACCTTAGGTCTTACAATTCAAGTATGAAGTTCAACTTAGAATAAAGAAGAGCGTTCATTTTTTATATAATATCCAACAATTTACAATTTCACATGAATTTAATAAAGATGATATGTATCTAGTGTATCGTCATTTTGCTATATTTTTGAATATTTTTTTTGCACTATTCGAGCATTAGTGAATTTAAATACAAAAATGTCAATCTCTTAAATTTTTATAGTATATATATGTTCTTTCTTGTAATTTTATCCACATTTCATGTGAATTGACCGTTGTAATGATAATCTACTAATTACAAAATTACTTCAAATGTTTCAACATGTGTTTGACATTGTTTTGAATCGATTTGCACCTTTGCAAAATAGCATGGTACTAAGGATGGACCCGGACCAGACCGGACCCGGTTCCGGTCCTGGAAATGTCGGTCCCGGTTTTTTGAAATTGAGAACCGGAATCGGACCGGTTCTTCATAGACCTGGTTTCGGTCCAGTCTACCTGACCGGTCCCGGTCCAGGCATGCATTTTTTTTTAAGTTATTGGAAATTAAAAACATAATGTATATTTATTATTATAAACACTACCATGAACTAATCGTTGAAAATTACAATTGAGAATACTTTAAAGTTGAAAATTACAATACATGAACTAATCGTCGTTGCCGCCGCTTCCGGCGTCGGTTGTCGTTTCCTACATGAAATAGCGGTCCGATGCTATGTTGAGTTCTTGTGTTCTACGACGACCTTCAACCAATCGTGGATGCAAACGAGTGTTTCGAGAGATGAAACCGGTACCCACCTGATCGGGTACCCGGTCCTAGACCGAAACCGGTAAACCGGACCCGGTCCTATCCGAAACAATGTCAGACCTGGTTCCGGACGAGTCCGGGACCGCCGACCGGGTCCATGCCTACATGGTACCAAATTGTTCCATCTTTAGAACCACACTGTACTGAATCATTAGAAACCTCACGAATACATTACAAGTTTTACTAATTTAACAAAGACCGATTTTTGCTCAAAAAGTTAAACCCCACCCAAGGATCACCAATGGGGATTGACTCGGGCCAGGCTTCGGGTCGAGCCAAACCGGGCTTTTTTTGGTTTGTTGAGACTAGACTTGGACTCAGGTCGGGTGGCCCGACCCGATCCGACCCGGCCCGAATCGGTGGCCCGATCAGTGACCGGTCCGGGTAGGCCCGACCCGATGTGTTTCCGGTCCGGGCTCGGGTCACCCAAAACAAGGTCCAGCCCGTTTCGGGCCAAATTGAATTTTTTTTTTGATTTTTTTCATTTGTTTGGGATCCACCCTGGTTGGGCTTGATGTTTAGGAGGGGTTTGAGGGGTTTGGGGGTGAGTGGGTCAAGGATGGGTAGGTAAGCAAAAAAAAAAAATTAACCAAACGTGAGGCCCAACCCAGCCCGGACCCAGTGACTACCCGGGCCAGTCCCGGGTCCAGCTATTCAGAACCGCCGGCCCATGCCCTACCCGACCCGAGTCCAAGTCTAGTTGAGACCCAGAACCGGTCCAGGTAGCTACCGGGTTTTGGTCAGGCCTAGGCGGGGTCAAGCCAGGAACCTTTTTTATTTTATTTTTTTGAGTTTCTAATTACTTCCTCCCCACACCCGTCCAAAACACCTATCCCAACCCATTTAACTTCCAAAAATTTTGAAAACAAAAAATTGGCCCAAACTAGGTATGGACCCAGGCCGGTCCGGTTCCGAGCCGGGCGGGCTTTTTTTGCAAATCTTGGGCCCGGAACCGGCCTTGATTGATACCGGGTCCTGGCCTAACCGAGTCGGGCCTGGTTCAATGTCTATTTTTTTTTTTGTTTTCTTGTTATCCCCCTCCCCCTCCCCCCCCTCACCCCCACCCCCAAACCTCCCCAAAACACCCAACCCTACCCTAGGAAAAGAAAAAAAAATGAAAAAAAAAAAATTGACCCGACCCGAACCGCCCGGGCCGATTCGCCCAAAACGGGGCATGACCCCAACCCGCCCAAACAGGCTAAAAGCCCGAAACCGGCCAACCATTCCCGGTCCGGTCCGAGCCCGCACACTAGCGTGCCAGGCCGGTTCCGGGCCGGCTTAGTCCATCCTTAGCCCAAACCAATCCATTTTATGGAGACCCAAAGCCCAACTCAAGAAATTCCAGTTTGGGTATATAGCACCAGGCCTAGACCCAAGTCACAAGTCAGGCCAGTTCATAATACTACCAAGCCGGTCAGGTTTTGGTCCTGTTGACTCAACCTGAGTCCATCCCTAGCCACAACTAGGGATGGACTCAGTTCAGGCCGGGGCCGGTTTAGACCTTGAACAGGGCAGGCCTCGGTTCAAGGTATGGGAGGCCTGAAACCGGCCCGGGAAACCCCCAGGTCCAGGCTGGGTTGGACCTCAGTTATATTTTTTTTTGGCCTTTTCCTAGTTAACCCCCAACTCTCCCCCTCACCCCAAACCAACCCTAACCACCTAAAATGGCCCAAAATACCCAGCCCAAAAACTTAAAAAAAATAAAAAAAAAATGGTCCGGCCTGAACCAGCAGGGCCGGTTCACCTTTTGAAGGGTCCGAGCCCGAACCAAGATCCCACCGGGCCGGGTGGCCCAAACCAGCCAACCAACCGATTCACCGGGCCGGTCCAAGCCCGCACAGTAGCAGGCCAATCCAGTTCCGGGGCGGTTGGCCCAGCACGAGTCCACCCCTAGCCACAACTGGACATTCAATTTGCTTTTTCAATCTAGGAAGAGGATCTACAAGAAACATGACAGTCACATACTCAAACACCAAAGCTGAGATCACGGTCCACAACATAGTGAACATACCAAACAAACATGCACTTGGTACTACGGGAAAATTGTTGCTATCAAGCTTCGAAAAGTGATAATATAAGAGCATAATAATAGTGCTTGAATGACAACGAAGATATTTGTTTCGGTTTTCCCGAAAATTGAGAATAACAACAAATAACGACATGTCAAAATAGAAAATACTGCAAAGATTAACGATCAAGTCATTCTTTGAGCTGCTTCCTTCTGAAGAACCCGTTCCTTGGCTTTTGTCTTGGCTTGGGATTTAGAGCCCATGACTCCACCACCCCACTTCTTGCGGTTTTCTTCATATTTATCATTGAAGTTGGCCTGCAAAGCAATGGAACCTTCCAGATTAATAAATAATACAGAAGCATTACTAGAACATTGGTTTACAAAATACAAGTTGTTCACACCTTAATTGCTTCCAAAATCTTAGAGAACTCTAACTTATCCTCATTCTTCACTGAGGTCAAGCACAAAACAGATGCAGTCTTCTTGTGGACAATCTGAAGAACCATAAGCACATGATGATGCAAATATAGCAGTTGAGAATAAATCAGATTAAGATAATACAAGGATTACCTCCGAGAAAGTATTGAGGTTTTGCATAAGAGAAAGAGTAACTCAAGTCATGAAATATTAGAATAGTAATAGCATCATAGTAATACTAAATTACCTTCATACCAACAGATTTATACTTGGGGATGTGAAAAAAATATTGCCTTAGTAAGTTCAAAAATCATAAGATATCCAAACAAGGTACATTTACATTGATTTACAAAAGTAATGTGTACACCTAAATTAGGTACTGTCTAGAAGGTTATTAGGGACCATAAGGAAAATTAAAGAATCTCAAAGGTTTAGTACTCACAGCACCCAATCTTGCTTTACCCTTAACGATGCAATAAGGAATTTCCATCTTTCTGCACAAAGCAGGAAGCCAGACAACCAGTTCAATTGGGTCCACATCATGAGCAATAACCACCAATTGGGCTTTATTCTGAAAAAAAGATCGACATTTGTTGTCAGATGCTATGCTGCAACTACCGTTTGGCAACCATTTTCTCTAATTGAACACAATTCTCTCAATTTTGTGCATTTGTTGTGCAATGATATACTTCAAACATGAGGTGGAAATTCAATAACTCAATTCGGCGATCTATATATAAAAGAGGATGCAGTCTGTAACCTGCTCAATGAGATAGGTTACGTGCTTGAGCCCATACTTAACAACAATGGGCTTCTTCAGCTCAGGTGTCTTTCCCTCACTCTCAGCCTGGGCCCTCCTTAGAAGTCGCTCTTTCTTAGCAGCTTTATCCTCGGGCCTGTACTTGAGTAGCACCTTGAAGAGGTTTGTTGCTGGAGAGTGGACAGGGAATACAAAACCAAGTCATGAATTATCACTCAAATCAAATTTATAAATAGGTTTTTTTTACTATAAGGCCTATTAAAACATACAGTCAATACCCATTTACTAATCAAAGCCCGTATATATACTAAACTATGGAGAAGAAAATTCAGATTTGCCTGATCATCCAAATCCACAAACAGTAACGTGTATGAACAAATGGACCAGCAAGAACTCATAATATATTGGAAAATTGGACAAGAATAATCCCAACTTTAAGTTATTCGCTTGAAATAATCCGAAATATAAATTTTCTCAAAATAATCTCAACTATTGAAAAAAATCTCTTAACACTCCAGTGACTTATAATAACCTGAATATGACTTAAACTGTTTCAGGTCAATGGAGCATTTTGAGTTCTTTTTTAGGTAGTTCGGATTAGTTTGACACAATTGATACTTTAGATTACTTCAAGCAGATCATTAATAGTTGGAATTATAGTTGTCCATTTTTCTTAACATATTTTGAATTCACGACATTATTGTAAGATATAATAACTACAAACTGGAAAAATCTGTGCAAAAAGTTGAAGTCTACGAGGGAAAAACAGAGTAGATATCAGTAAATTTCCAGTTCTACACGAGCAGTGGTAATCAAGGTCACGCGGAAGCATGTACAGCAGTAAATAAACAATAAACTGTAGAGATCAAATGAGACGAAACGTCAAAGAAAAATGTTCAACTTCAAGATAAAGTAAAGAGAACATAGAAAAAAAGGGACCTAGGTTTTTATCAAGGGTCTTAGAGAACTGGTTAAGTGCGGGCGGAACCTTCAACCGCTGCTTGAGGATCCTCCTCTTCCTCTGAATGGTAACAACTTGTGGCCATTTGACGAACCTGGATAGATCCTTCTTATGCGGCAATGCGCCACCGATTCCGAATTGCTTTGGACGCTTCTCGAACAGTGGGTTCGCCACCTTCTCCGACTTCTTCTTTGCCGCGGCTGCCGGGAGCTTCACACCTTTCTTCGGAGCCTTAGCATCGTAAATACAAAACTTCAGTTAACAGTGCGAATGGAATGTAGCAAGAAGAAGGGGGGAAAGAGAGGAAGTCACATACCATCTCCAGTTCCTGCAGCGCTGCTCTAAACCCAAACGGCGAAAGAACATAAGCCTTTTATAGTGGATTCCAGTGCTGCTCATTAACCCTATTAATTTATTTTGCGCCAGCCCATACACCGAACCCATCTTCGTCCCTACCCATTCCAAACGCATTTCTACTTTTGTCCGGCCCAAATCTTTCGCTGCAGGAGTTATCCATTTCGATTTTATTATGAGCTAAAAATGGGGAAACATTTACTAGATTTTATTTAAAAAAGAAAAAAATACAAATATGAGAAGGGGAACTGATGACATAAATACCAGCCCAATATGGTAAGCCCGGTTGAATGTGGGCTGAGCCCGTAAATGAGATGGACAAGACGAACATGGACTCAGGCCCAAGGAAATACATGGTCAACATACCCAGGATGAGAATCATGGAGTCACATTCACAGAGATATGACGCGCTGAGCATGACGTGGTCTTATCTTTACAATGAGGCTTAGGCATGACATGCTGAGCACGACGCAGCCTTACCTCTACCATGGGATTTGAATATGGCATGTTGAGCATCACATGGTGAGCCTCTACGCGCGTGGTGCTACTTCCCAGAAGCGACGTGACCAACAACAAATCTCGAAGATCACGGGTCAACTCGCAATAAGTCCTACAAATCAGAAGATGGTGGTGCGTCAGTTCATGCATGGCGACCACGTTGCCCGAATATTTCTTGTCTCAATTTTGTATTATAAATTCTTGTAACTCTTGGAAGAACGATGAGGCTGAATACATTGAATACACTACGTACAATTATCTCTCTAAGTATTATTCTGAGTGCTTTAATTATTTTCGGCTATCTACTAATTATTTTCCGGTGGATTTACTTCCATCATTTTGGTGCTTTCATTGAGAGCCGAAGATACACTCAGGAAATTTCAGACGCTGTAACAATGGCTACTACCAGGGCTGAGAAGGATGTACCTGCCGAGGAACACACTGCGTCCAACTCATCAGGACAGGACCTTCGTAACCGACTCAGTCGCCCTGCGGTGGTTCCCGTAGAAGTGCCTGGTGTCCATGGTGCCATCCTAGGGATGACCAGGATGTTGGGCACTATTGCGAAGGACGTACGCCGTGCAATTCCCGGCGCTCAAAAGCCTCCTCAACCACATGGAACTCAATTTCCGACTAATCATCCGGTGGTGGAGATGGAGGTGACATCACCAGCACCATCCCGAAAAATTAGAGAGAAAGGAGAGGAACGAGGAATCCCTGTCCCTTCGAACCAACCAGCTCGAAGTGAAACTTCGGTGTTCAGCAGGCTGGGAGACCAAAGACGCTCTGCTAAGGACCGTCTCGGGCGATCACATCATGTTGAGAAAGAAAGGGATGCACAAAACCACCGTGGACAACGCGACCACGGCGAAGAGGAGCGCGGACAAGTCCCCAAAGTCGCCCATATGACTACCAGTCACCGTTCACTCGGACACATGACTGAGCATATCGGGGGGACCGAAATACGCTCACAAAAACCGAGGAACACAGAGGTAGAGGACGGTGGCAGGAAACGTGTGACGATTCACACGGACAGAATCGGGAACGATTCGAATGAGGTGGAGGTGAGGAAGCTATGGAGAAAAATTGAGGACCTGCAGCGACGGGTGGATGCAGGAGATGGACACACGGACGCTAAACTGAAGACGGTGACCCCATTTACCACACGGATCATGGCGTACCCGTTACCTGTTGGCTTCAAGGCGCCCCATGTCAAGGCCTATTCGGGAACCTCAGATCCCCAGGAACATCTGTCACGTTATTACGCTAATATGATTATGATTGGGGCGTCGGAGGAAATAATTTGTCGATGTTTCCTAGCTACGTTGGAAGGAACTGCGTGTGAGTGGTTCAATTCTCTCCCCCATGGCTCGATCGATGAGTGGGAGGATTTAGCGCAAAGGTTTCTTGAACATTTTGCTGCTAGCAAAAGAACCAAGCAACACTACTCACACCTCCTGACCGTGAAGCAAAAGAAGAGCGAGGACTTGAAAGATTTTGTGATACGATGGAGGAAGGAGTCTGCTGCCGTGCATGGCGCGGACGACCAAACACGCCTGGCCATGTTCCAGGCAGCGTTACGGGCTGGGGACTTCGCCTCAAGTCTCATCCGGGACCCACCAAGGTCGTACCAGACGGCCCTTCAAAGAGCTGATCGATACGCCGATGCGGAGATCCGAGAGGTGCAAAAGAAAAAGGATGAGTCATCGGAACCTTGGAGGGAGGGGTCTACCCCTCACCACAAAAAACAAAAGAAAAGCAAAAAAGATTTCAACTACGGTCCGAGGCAGATTTCAAATGCGAGCCCGGTGTCCCTAACCCATCCGGTGGGCACGATCATGGACTATGCCAAACGTACAGATCTCATGCGAGGACCAAGGCCAGAGGGTGAAGTGTACGCTGTCTCTGGTGCTAAAAAGTATTGTCGTTATCATCGGGTTGATAATCATGACACAGAGGAGTGTTTTACCTTGAAACGGGAGATTGAAAGACTGATCCAAAGGGGTCATTTAAATAATTTCGTCAAGGGGGCTACGCAGCAACCCAACCAGGTGTGGAGGAAGCCTTCAAAACAAGTGGCGTGCACGCAGCAGGAAACACGCATGGCAGAGAAAAGACACATTGGAAATGAGAGTGACGAGGAGGCTTCAGATGAACCAGGGCAGAAGCGGGACAGGAGGCACCATGGCATCAATTTCATTTATGGAGGTAATGCAGGCGGGGACTCGTCGTCCCTTCGAAAGAAATGGGCTCATCAACTCTACATTGGTGAGATCATGCACTCTCCAATGAAAAAGAAGGTACGACGTGAACCCATATGTTTTACTGATGATGACCTACCGCCGTGTCCAAGCCCACATCGGGTGCCATGGTTATCAAAATGGAGATCAATGATCTTGTCATACACCGTACCCTGGTCGACACGGGAAGTTCTGTGAACATAATGTACCTTGATACTTTCGAGAAACTGAAGTTGTCCAAAGGAAAACTGCATCCGATAAAAACCCCATTGTCCGGGTTCACGGATGACTCTATCGAGGCAGAAGGAGTCGTCACAGTCCCGGTGGAGGTAGGGGACACATCCCATAAAGTGAAACTTAACATGGAGTTTGTAGTGGTCCGATTGACATGTGCACATAATCTTATACTCGGACGACCGGGACTGGAAGATTTGCAGTGCATAGTGTCCCTGGCACATCTTTGTATTAAGTTCCCAACACCAACTGGAGTAGGGATAGCGCGCGGAAGCCAGAAGCTCGCCCGAACATGTTACATAAAAATCACTAAGAAGGTGGGGCGGCATGGCCACCAGGTGAACACTGTCGCCACACAATACCTACAAGATGAAGAGCGGAGACCCCATGCTGAACCCGCAGAAGGGACGGAGGAGATCACCCTTGATCCCGAAACACAAGAGAGAAAGATTAAGATAGGAACCGGATTGGGGGCTGAGCTCCGCGCTGAAATCATAGCCGTCCTGACCATGTACCAAGGTGTATTTGCAAGAGGACCAGAAGACATGTCAGGCATCAGTAGAGACGTTATCTCTCATCGCCTGGACGTGGATGCCACGTCAAAACCAGTGAAACAAAAGAAGCGTTACATGTCCTCGGATAGGCGGGAGTTTGTAAGGAAAGAAGTGGGCACCTTGTTAAAGATCAGACATATCAGGGAGGTTAAATACCCAGAATGGTTAGCAAACGTGGTATTGGCACCTAAACCCCCAACATGGAGGATGTGTGTTGATTACACGGATCTCAACAAGGCATGCCCGATGGATCCATTCCCATTTCCTAACATCGACCAGTTGGTGGACGAAACAGCGGGGTGTGAGTTGATGAGTTTTATGGATGCCTTCAGTGGATACCACCAGATTCGCATGCATGAGGAGGATGCAGAAAAGACCTCGTTCATGACTCCAGAGGGCATTTTTTGTTACTTGGTCATGGCGTTTGGACTAAAAAACTCTGGGGCAACGTACACCCGCATGATCTCTAAGCTCTTCAGACCTGTCCTAGGTCGCACCATGGAAGCCTACGTGGATGATATGATTGTGAAGAGTAAAAAATCGAGCACGCATGCTATGGATTTGGCAGAGGTATTCAAAATCATGGAGAAATTTAATCTACGCCTCAATCCGAAGAAATGCACTTTTGCGGTGCAAGGCAGGAAGTTTCTAGGATACTTGGTGAGCCGGAGAGGAATTGAGCCAAATCCAGAGAAGGTTAAAGCCATTCTGGACATGGAGCCTCCCCGTAATGTTAAGGAGGTCCAGCGATTAACAGGGCGCTTAGCAGCACTAAACCGCTTCTTATCGAAACTAGCTGAGAAGGCCACACCGTTCTTCCACATCATGAAGAAGTCAAAAGGTTTCATGTGGACTGAGGAGTGTCAAACTTCGTTCGAAGGATTGAAGCAATATCTCTTATCTCCTCCGGTGTTATCTAAACCAGAGACAGGGGAGACCCTTTATCTGTATCTGGGGGTCTCCCCGAGTGCAATAAGCTCTGTCTTGGTGCGTGAGGAGGGTGGTGCTCAGAGACCTGTTTACTATGTCAGCAAAACCTTGAGGGATGCTGAGCTACGGTATACTGCCATAGAGAAAATTGTCTTATCGGTGGTGTGGACAGTCAAACGACTGACACAGTACTTTCAAGCTCACCCCGTCCATATTTTGTCACACCAACCTTTAGGCACGGTGATGAGGAGTCCCACAGCATCATCAAGGATGGTCAAATGGGAAGTATACCTTAGTCAATTCCACATAGAAGTGAAGCCTCGCCCTTCGGTCAAAGGGCAAGCTCTTGCGGATTTCATTGTGGAATGCACAGCACGTGAAGAAGCGACGAAGACGAGGCATGAAGACCATGATTCCGAGT